CAGGACTGTGGGCGGGGAAGCCCGTGGACTCTGACCAGGGGCAGCCTCGCGACTGTCCCGGGCTCCCTGCTGTTGGCGCGGGGGTGAAACCAGGACCCACCTCGCAGGGCGGGATGCGGCCTGACTGACTATGATGTGCGATCACAACGCATTCGGAACTGTGCTTGGCACAGAGGGACGTAGCTGCACTGGGGCGGGTGGCGAATAAACCTGAAGAAATAGTTGTGCACACAACCCGACCACGGGCCGTGTCCAGCCTGGGCTATCGGGGCGGCCGCGGCTCCTGGTTGTCACAGCAGAGCGGCAATCGGCGGCCAGGACCAGGGAGCCGGTCGCCACGAGGACAGCGGGCTGAGCGCGCACCGCAGGACCCCGAAGCATCGAGCCCTGGGGCTCCGGCCTGCTTCCTTGCCGGTCTCTAAAGGCCCGGGGGTCAGGGGGGCAGTGTGGGAAAGGTCGGGATGCCTCCCCACGGGCTGATTCGTAAAGGAGAGGCTCTGACCCCTTCAACGGCTGCATCATCTTCCGGCCCTGGACAAGCCCCGCTCTGTGCCGTGGGGAGAGCCGCCTGCCCGAACCGCCTGGGGTCCTAGGAAAGGGCCTGAGCCCCGGCTGGCTGGGGCGCCCCCGGAAGGCTCAGAAGGACTCCTGCCGCACAGGCTTGTCATCGACACCGTCCGTGCCCACAGACTGACATCCCCACCTGGTCCCCGAGGGGAGTCTCCTCTAGGTGCCACGTCACAGATCAAGTCACCGAACCCGTTTAAACGTGGCACGCACAGATTCAAAACCAGAACCTTAAAAGGGTGTAGCTGGCACACAGGTGAGTCAAAGCTCGTCAGGTGGTTCTCAACGGGCCCGGAAGGCGAGGGCCCAGCCCCCGCGGCAGGGGGGGCCTGGCTGGGAGCCAGGGCAGCAGACGGAAGGGTGTGTCCCTGCAGCCCGGCAGCCAGAGACAAGGTGTGGGGACGAGGGGGGGGACAAACGGACTGACAGCACCGGCGCCCCGGCAGCACCGGCAGTGACGGCAGCACCGGCAGTGACGGGCCCGCAGCTCCACGCCCGGGACAACAGGGCGGGGCCCAGGAAAGGGCGCGGGGAAGGAGCCAACCCATAGGGAGCCCGCTCCCCGGCACCCGGGACACCAGTGAAGCCCGAGAGGCCGCGTTCCACTGGCTCCACTGGCCTGACGGGGCGAATAAGAGAGCTGGCCGGGGGAGGGGCGGCGGGGGCGCGCAGAGGGGACACAGGGCGCAGGAACCCTCTGAGACTTCCCATACGGAAGCTGCGCCGTGCGTACCCAAAGCCTTCGCCCAGTCATTGGACTTCTAGGAATCTGTCCTCAAGAAATAATAAAAGTATAAAAAAAAATTTAACTAAAAAAATAAAAACACTGTACCACAAAAAATAAAATAAGAGTTCTGCACTGATTTAATAAAATAAGTGCTCTTTATATACTGTATACATTTCCATAAATATTTAAATATAAAGATGTTATTTAGAGCACTATTGTAGAAAAAATTTGAAACAGGATATTGGATAAATTAACTGTGGTTTACAAATAAGATGGAATAGCGTGTAGTCCTTTTTAAAACACGTTTCCTGAAAACACTCACGATGGGAGAAAACAACGGCAACACACGGCGAGTGGAGGGAAGGGCCTGCGCCCCAACCCTGAGCCGGGAGCAGAGAGGCCGCAGGGCCCGGGGGTGGGGGGGCTCCTCTTTGGACGGGGAGGGTGACGCCCCCTCTGCCGGACGCAGCTTCTCCATCTACAACGACCATGTGTTTGTTGAGGATCCAAGAAGGCCTCCCTCATACCATTTAAACGAAGTAGCAAACGGTGTGCGAAACGCTTCCATCGTGCTTTTCTCCCCCAAACACAAGGGACGCGAGCCCCGCTGAGTGCGCACATGGCCCTCGGTCCCCCAGCCCTGCGACAAGGGCCCTGGACGGGGGCCCATGGAAAAGGGGCCAGCGGGCGGGGTGCCCTCCGGTGGGGGCGGGGACGGGCTCTCAGCGGGGAGCGCATTTCCGGAGGGGCCGGGGACAGGGAGGAGACCGGTGTGGGGCCGGCGAGGGTGCGGCGGCGGAGACCGAGACCCGCGTCCACGCTCTGCCTCTCAGGCCCCACAGGTGCGGGTGGGGCTGGGGGCTGGCAGGGTCTAAGGCAGCAAGGAGTCCCAACACCCCTGCGCGGCCTTCTATCTTCTCCCCAGATGGCACGTCCCTCTCTGCCCCGGCAGGCGCTCCCAGCGCTGTCTTTCCGGTCACGCCCCTGGGGGCCGAGGCTGCTCCCCTGGTGCCTGCTCGGGGCCCTGCCTCCCACGGAGGGTCTCACGGGAGGGGGGGCCCCAGCTGGAACGGGGAATCACAGGCGCTGAGGCTGAAACGTCTCGGGAAGCGTAGGAGGCCACCTGACGGGAGGCCCGCCGGCTCAAGAAGGGACGCGCACCCAAAGCTTTGGGGATGGATGGGCCGCTGTGACGGGTGGCTGCCCCCAACTGTTCTGCGAGAGTCGGTGGTGACTTCAGATCCAAAGTCCTGAAACGCAAGCGAGCCCTGCCCTGCGGCCTGGACCCTGACGACGGGGGGTCCTGTGCGGCTTCCTGACCGGCGCCCGGCCCGGTCTGGGGGGGACAGAGCGCCCTGCCGCCTCACCGGGGAGTCGCTGAGGCCCTGGCCTGCGGGGGCTGGTGTCAGCACCACGGGCCGCGGCACCCCAGCACCCAGTCCCGCACGTGCAAACCCAGGTGCTACGGTCACATACAGACATCACTGTCAGAGTCCTGCCTCCTGCGCTTTTTTTTATCCCCACTCAAGGACATTTTTTTTCTCACCGCTTTGAGAGAGAGAGGAAGGCAGAGCGAAACATCGATGTGAGAGAAGCACCGGTCGGTTGCCTCCCAAGCACCCAGACCGGGGACCAAGAACTGAGGCTCGAACCGGCAAGCCAGGCATGAGCCCTGACGGGAAATCGACCTGCGATCCTGCGGCTCCGGGGGACACTGCCGCCCCCGAGCCACACCAGCCGGGGCCCCTCCTGCACTTCGACAGCAGAAGGGACGGCCCCTGCAGAGGTGGGCGCAGGGGGAGCTCGCGCTAACAGCTAAGCGGGTCAGTGGGAAGCTGAGCAGGGGGCGAGCCCCCAGCCTCGGCCCACACAGCAGGGGTGGGGGCCGCAGCGCCCGGCGGGTGCGGCCCTTCCTGGAGTTCCACCAAAACTGGGGCACTGCCACTCGCCCCCCGGGGAGCCTTCGCTGCGTTGGGACTCGAACCCAGGGTGAGGGAGGTGGGCGGCCCCCCGCCCGCCGCCCCCCGCCCCCCGGCCCCCCCCCCCCGCACAGCCCCAGCGCCCGAGGGGAGGCGAGGCAGGCCCTCACTGTCCGGCCGCCGCAGCCTGCGGGCCGCAGTCGCTCGCAGCCCAGACCGGCAGGGAGGCCTTTGACAGGACGTTCGCTCCCGGGGGACAAACCCCCGGAGTTGTCCCCAGGCAGCTGCCAGCTCCCACGGGGCTGGGCCCGGGACGTGCCAGGTGCAACTCAGAACAGCGTTAACGTCAGTGTCAGCGGCCTCTGTGGAGGGGCAGCCGGAGGGACCTGGCGACAGTGTTGGCGGTGGCAGGAATGCGCACGCGACGGAAGTGGTGACGACCACAAATGCCAACGCATCTGCCGAGGTCCTGGATGGGACCCTGGTACAAGATGTCACCTCTGAGGAGTCTCTGTATTTTACCCAACGGCCTGTGAATCTAGGATGGTCTCAAAATAAAAAGTTTAAAAATGGAAGGCCACACCGCTCAGCCACTGCACATAGCGGACAACTAGCTGAGGAGGCCGCCCTCTGATCCCTGAGCTGAAGAAACCGGCAGTCACGGGGCCTCCCACGCAGGCCTGGGGCTTTTCTTCCACGCAGCTCGGGGGGCGCATTTGATTTGGGGCAGGGGGCACTGCGGGGCTAAAGGGCGATGGGTGGGGGGCAGGGCCACAGGGTCAGCATTGGGGGGACGGGATTGATCTTATTGGAAACTAGGGGTTCATAAAAAATCTGCAAGAGTGAACAGGAGAAAGAAATCTTGCAACTCACTGCATCTCCCAAACCCTAAGACCCCCTACACCAGAGGACACCCCCCTCCCTCCAGCAGAGGCAGCCCGGGTTCGGGAGCCGCTAGACTCGTCTCCCCAGAGACCCGGCCAGGGTGCACCCGCCCCAGGAGTGCGCACCGGTCGGGGTCGGAGCCCACCCTCCGGGCTGCTCCGCCCGGCTGGACGGCGAGGAGGACAAGAGAAAAAGGCGAGAGGGCCAGCAATCGGCGAAAGGCCCGAGGGGGCTCCTTCTCCAGCACCCCGAACAGCTGCGGCCCCGCCTGTGCCCGTGGGGTTCCCCTCCTAGACCCTCGCAGACAAAAGCGTCTAGGGCGAAGGAGCCGCCCCTGCAAAGTACAGAAGCGCCAGATCCTATCAGCCAGGAACCCAACGCGCGCTGCTGCCCGCAAGTTCGGGCACGCTCGGGCCGGGCGCGGGCAGAGCGAGCTGCCGAGGCGGGCGCGCCCGGGGAGGCTGGGCCGGGGGCGCGCCAGGAGCCTCGGGTCAGGCCGGGGGTCGCGGCCCGCTGCGGTCTCCCCCTCGCCGGGTCCGAGGTTCCTCCGCAGCAAAGGAGGCGGCACGGCCAGGGCCTTCCCCCGTCCGGGCCCCCGAAGCTCCTGCACCGATCGGCGTGCCGGGCGCCTCCCGCTCGTGGAACAAAAGAGCCGCTCCCGCGGAGGGTCCCGAGCCCGCGCGGCCCGGGCCACGGCTCAGCCCTCTGAGCGCCAGGGCTCCGGCTGGATGCTCCGGGCTGCGGGCTTTGTGTGCGCGCAGGGGCGGGAAGGGCGGCCGGACCCCGCACAGCGCAGACCGCGTCCGCGCGCCAGAGCCGTCGCCTGCGCGGGCCCCGCGGCGCCCCGCGGCCGCGGGGAGCCCATTCATTCGCCGGGGGCGCAGACCGCCGGCCGGGCTCACCTTGCTCTTGACTTCCACCGCGCTGCAGCTGTAGAGGCGCAGGGTCTGAGACTTGTGGAAACTCCGGTTCATGGTTCCGGCCCCGCTCAGCCCCGTCTTCGCCCTCGCCCCGCTCCGGGGGCTTCAGAGAAACGCTGGGGGCGGCGCCCCCCGCCGCGGCCTCGGCCCCGGCCCCGGCCCGCGCTCCCCGGCCGCGGCGCTGCTCGCACTGCGGCGGCCCGAGCTGGGCTGGCCGCGCGCCTCGGGGACTTCAGCGGCCGCGCGCGGGACGGGCGGAGGACGCCGGCGCGCGCCGCCCCGAGCGCCCGTCGCCAATCCCCGCCCCGCGCCCCAAGGGCCCGCCCCCGGCCCCGCCCAGCAAACCGAGGGCCCGCCCCCAATCCGCGCCCCGGGCCCCAGGGACCCGCCCCGCAACCGAGAACCCGCCCCCAGGACCCGTCCCCCCAATCCCCGCCCTGTGCCCCGAGGGCCCGCCCCGCGAAGACCCGCCCCCGAGCTCCTGGGCCTATTAAACCCTCTCCCGGTTCCCACAACACCCTCCTCCAAGCCCCGCCCCGCAACCCGGGGACCCGCCCCCGGAGCGCCGAGGTCCTCTCTTCGGAGAACCCGCCTCGAGGCTGCGGGTGGCCGAAGGTGCGCGGTTCTGTCCGCGCCATCCCGAGCCCGCGGCCAGAAGCAAAGCCCGTCCGCCGGGTGCCTCACTCCCACCTCCGCGCCTGCGCTTTCCCCCTGGAGCGCAGGCCCAATTCCACCGCCTTGTCCGGGAAGGGGCTGCTCTGGGCTGATTTTTGCCTCTTCCTGCACAACGTGGGAACCACACCGGTCTGCACTAGTGCCAGGTGGTGGGTGGTCCGGGCGAAGGTCTGCAGGAGGCCAACGCCTACGGCGCAGCGCGGCGCAGCCAAGCGGAGGGAAAGGTAGGCCTCTGCCAAGGCTCATGGAAAAGCACGCGTGGCAGAAAGAGGCACCGGTTGTTACTGCCCAGGGAAAATCCTCACAAAATGTACCGTGAATAATTATAATTTATTAGTTATAGAATTTTACATTTACTATATATAAACTTATTGTGAACGAAATGTAGAGAATACGAAGAAATGAAAGGGAAAATGTTAAAATTGCCAATAATCACACTACGCAGCGCTCAATGTTATTAACTTTTTGGAATATTCCGATGCCTGTTTTCTCCATATATATTTATATATTTTACAACATTGTGAGATGCTGTTGGCAGCCTGCTGATGTCGCCTTATGTTGTATACAGAACATTCTCATTAAGTGTTCTTAGAAAATATGGCTTTCAAAAGCTGCGTATATGAATACAGCCATAACTTTGGATACAACCATTCCATTATTGAATATTTAAGATGTTTCCAATGTTTAGCTTTTATATAGTGCTGTTTCTTGAATTCACTTACTTCTAATTATTTCATTAGAATCCACTCCTCAAAATTGAATTACTAGGCCACAGAGAACACCTATCTCTAAACCCTTTAACGCAGATTGGCACATTGTTCCCCAATATTCGATTTGCGCTGAATTTCACTAGATGTCCTGTTCTATGTGGAATTTAATCACAGAGGCCCAGAATGACACTCGCTGTCCAAGACGGAAACACCAGGCTGGCCAGCGGGCCAGGCACGCAGACAGAGTTCCAGAACAAGCCCTGGCCGGGTAGCCCAGCTGGTTCGAGCATCGCCCCAAAACGCCACGGTTAGGGGTTCCACCCCGGTCAGGGCACATACGAGAAACCACCCGTGGGAGCCTCACAAACTGATGTTGTTTCTCTCTCTCTCCCCCCAACCCCTTCCTCCCTCTCTAAAATCAATAAATATTAAACATAAAATAAATCTTTAGGGCAGTTCCTGCTTTTGGTCTATAGCTATGTGACCCCAACTCGCAGGGGGAACGAGCGGGATATAAGAAGAAGGCATAGGGTCTGGCGGCCCCTGAACACAGACCTGCGTCCCACCTGCTTCGCATAGAAACCCCGGGAGCCCCCCGTGACGAGGGGCTGACTCATTTGAACACTTTTGGTCCAACATTACTGACTGGTTTTGACCAATTTTAGAAACCTATAACATATAATACAGTAATGAAGGCCACTTTTATCCAAAATTACGTATGAACATACCTCGGAGGTATTGCGGGTTTGGCTCCAGAGCACCACAATAAAGCGAGTATCACAATGAATCAAGTCTCACAATAAAGCAAGTTGCATGCGTTTGTTGTTGGTGGAGGGTCTGCCTCGATGATGATACAACTGCAGTGTCCCCTGGCTGGTGTGGCTCAGTGGACCGAGTGCCAGCCAGCCTGCGACCCGAGGGGTCACTGGTCTGATTCCCAGTCGGGGCCCACGCCTGGGCTGCGGGCCAGGTCCCCGGTGGGGGTGCCCACGCATGGATGCTTCTCTCCCTCTCTTCCATCCTCCCTCACCCCTTTCTAAAAATAAATAAATAAAATCCTTTTAAAAAATGCATTATCTGCAAGCACCGTTAAATAGGAAATGTGTTCAACAGCTGAAATACTTTATCTTGTTTTATTTGGGCCTCAAGCTGCCCTTTGTATTTTTATCAGCATCTTTCCAATACTGGACATGTCATCTAATCTGACAGAAGCTTCGATAGGCAGACAAATGTACATAGCACATTCCCAGAGGAACCTGGTCCAAAGATACTTTACTGCATCAGCAAGAAAGGTCGGCAGTATTGTCTACACAGTGAATTTTTTGTTTCCCCCCCTTAGGGCATTGGGGTTTTTTCCTTTTTTTTTCTTTATTGTCATTCTACTACAGTTGTCCCATGTAAAGTGAACTTCTTATAAAATAATTTTGCTGATAATCTTCAAGTATGCATACAAATAATGCTTTATTTTTAATGAGGACTAGGACATTTGCATAATCTCAAAATATCTTCCCACACAAGTATTAATGACAAAGGGAAGTAGCGGAATTTCACAGGGAAACCCGCCAGACACCATTCAATCAAGTGACGGATATGAATGCCAGCCTCAGAACAAGTCACAACTGTGCACCGCCTGAGTGGATGCAGCAAACAGCGCATTAATAGTCGGAAACGCTGTTGGAAGAATATAACATTATTAAATGTAGCTAGCAGCTTAATTTTTAAGATAAATGAACATTAAATTTTACATTAAAAACTAGTCATTCCGGCATTGTGTTCCTGGAGGTACCTCCTGCACACCACTGTCCTCCCAGGCAAAGGGACCCGGCGGCCAAGGCGCACAGACCAGGCAGGAGGGAGAGCCTGGATCGCGAGTTTCTCACGCTCATCTTCCTAGTTTGGGGTGCACAGCCAAGCGACCTGGGTTGAAGCAGACGTCATATGACTGAGCACAAAGACTTAGGGTTGTCCCAGCGAGTATACTGTGTTCTCAACTCCGCATCTTTTTGTCTAGTCTTTTTTTTGACAGTCACGGTAGGAAACAGTGGGCGGGCACAGTACAGATGCCCACTAGTCGGCCCCCGTGCAGAAACTAGTGGTTCCTGCAAGTCAGCAGCTGCTACCCATTCAGGAAGCGGCGAAGACCTGCTCCCTGCTTCTAGTGCACGGAAAGCAGAACATACGACTATACTGAGACCACTTCTTAGGAAATTACTTAGTTCACCGCCTCCCTGCCATTTCTTAAGTGGAAAAACAGTCAAGGTGTGGGAGGAACTTGGCGTAGGTTCTCAGATAGGGTAGAATAGGTTAAACAGTTCATATTAAGAACTTCTTTATAAAAAAAATTTATTCATTTATTTTTAGAGAGAGGGAAAGAGGGAAACATCAATGTGTGGGTGCCTCTTGTGCACCCCCTACTGGGGACCTGGCCCACAACCCAAGCCTGTGCCCTGGCTGGGAGTGGAACCAGCGGCCTGTTGGTTCACAGGCCGGCGCTCAGTCCACTGAGCCACATCTACCAGGGAATATATTCAGAACTTCTTCAATGTTGAGAAATTAGATTGGGTAATTTTTTTTTTAATTATACTAAGTCTGTCAGATACTGTGAGTAGCTATTTTGAACCTGTAAGCGAGATGTGTTTCAATTGGACAAAATTGTACAACTGCACACATATATTTAAGGATTTATTTCTAAGTGAGGCTCAAAATGATAAAAACTTTAAATAATAGTATTGTCCCCAGATAATCTAACTTTACTATTGAATAAATCTCATTGAATTTACCAAGTTTGTCATTTTAGTTTTTAAAATACTGAATTGATACCATGTTTAACATTTCTGTAGCAATAGATCTATTTTTAGTATCTCAACTTTTACCTTTAGCCATCAAATCCAGTAACACAGAATGTTATATAGAAGACAAAAATATTGGCAAGAAGTAGCTGGAACATGGCCAGAAAATTGTATGGTCCTGGGTGTTGATAGATGTGTATTCTCCTGGCTTTTAAATTAGTAACACAGTGGACAAAGATGTTCACTACCACCACCTGAGAATAAAAAAGAGTCAACAGTGAAATAGTGACCAGAAACCAGCACCAAGAACCCCTGTAGCAGCAACGGCAGCTCTCGTCCGAGGTGACTGATTTTCTAGCACGTTGCAGAGGAGCACCCCTAGAGCTGACCGGGCAGCAGGCTTTGTTAGCACACCTGTCATGTGACTAGAGGGGAAAGCAGTCATGGGTGGGGCTGAACTTGGGGTTCCCCAGAGCGTCAGTCACTGTGCCCGCTTCTTTCGTGCAAGTTGTCTTCCGGGTCTGCACATTCGCCCTATTCAGTTACGTGGAAGCACTGACAGCCCCGGCTGGTGCGGCTCCGTGGACTGAGCGCCGCCGGCCTGCGAACCAGGGGGTCGCCGGTTTGATCCCCGGTCAGGGCGCAGGCCCGGGTCCCCAGCAGGGGGCGCATGAGAGGCAGCCACACATGGATGTTTCCCTCTCTCTCTCCCTCCTTTCCCCTCTCTCTAAAAGTAAATAAATAAAATCTTTTTTTTAAAAGCACCTATAAAATCTAGACAAACTTAGTTTTTAAAATAACTGAGAATTACCTTCCCTGAGAAATGTGTGATTTCTCTAAAATGATCTCCTCTGTAATTCCCAATGTTTTCAGAAGTCATTTTCCACAAGAGAACAGCAGCCCGCGGATGAAGGTCCTGTCCTTCTTGGGACCAAGGACACGCCCCTTGTGAGGAGAAGACCCTACCGCTGAATCGGTTTGAAAGCTCTGTCTGGCATTCTCAGGAAAAAGTCTTGTAAGAAAAGCTATTGAACCCATTTAAGCCTTATTATTATTCATTGCTATGAAGTATTCGATTTTCTCATTTACTTTTATGTAAATTATTTAACATTGTATTAAAATTTCCATATTGTGGGTTATGAACTGCAAGAAACGAATTACTGAAAAGATAACCATTCATAACAACTAATTCTGAATTTGCATTGAAAAGTACGACCACACACTTTTAGTTCATACATAGTAAATGTGTCTATATGGCTGCTGAATTTTGGTTTATAACTTAAATACTGATAAAAATTTATATTTTTATTGGAAAAGCTTCCTTTTCTGAAAAGGACTTCATGTACTTTCTTGTTTAATAATAAACAATCAGCCCTGGCTGGTGCGGCTCCGCGGGCTGAGCGCCGGCCTGCCAATCAAGGGGTGGCCGGTGCGATCCCCAGTCTCCTGACCTGGGCTGCGGGCCGGGTCCCCAGCAGGGGGCGCACGAGAGGCAGCCACACACAGATGTTTCTCTCCCTCTTTTCTCCCCCACTTCCCCTCTCTCTAAAAGTAAATAAAATCTTTTAAAAATTATTTTAAAATAAAAAGAAACAATCATATTGCTCATGATTTTATGAGTGGGATAAAGCGGCTGGGGAAGCACCTTCTTTATTTATTGTTTTAATTTTACTAATTTTTTTGTTTTTTAGAAAGAGGGAAAGGGAGAAAGAGAGGGAGAAACATCGACGAGCGGTGGGCTGCCTCTCACACGCCCCCTCCTGGGGACCCTGCCGCCGCCCGAGCAGCCGCCCTGACCCGGGGTGAAGCAGAGAACTCCAGGGTCACAGGGCAGCGCGGGGACCACCGCGCCGCACCAGCCAGGGCGGGAAGCGCCTTCTTTACAAGATGGTGAAAAACGAACAGTAACTGCTATTTAGCAGTATTACATATATTTTTTTCTTCTCAAAGTATGTAAATAGGTCATTTGTGTGATTTATGTAAATGACTAGTGTTAGCATTTGTTTTCAAACTGGTAATATGGCAGATTTGAAGACCTCTATCAGATACAACAGACTTTCAGTTTAATCTCGTTTATAAGGTGGCCGTCCTAGACAGAAGACCCCAAACAGTCATACTATTTAGGCTGTTTTCATGGGTCATTATCATAGGCCTTTGAAGTTGGTAGTGCAGGTCAATTTAGCTCTACATGGTGAAAAATCTGATAACGTTACCTAGATTTACATTTCCGTTGACATTCACATTTTCCCTCGGCTGGCTCGTGGATCGCGGACTAAGCAGCTCTGGAGTTCAGGATCCCAGACCACTGCTGGGCGCCGCTGTAAGCGGCGCGTTCTTACAGCGCAGCCACTGAGTGTGAGAAGTTTCCTGATAAAACATCTTTACTGCTAAAATCATTTTTAAACTTGTTACTTTTAAAGACTAAATAATACAAATTCTTGAAAATTAGAAAAATTTTCAAGCTGAAATTCAATCACTGCGGAACAGAAAACCCGAATTCCGGAAGCGTCGGTTGGCAGGTGCGCCACGGAGTGGAAGTCTAGATGTCAGAAACCTCCGTGTAGGTGTCTGCTCTGACCGCCCATGCACGAGAAGGGAGCTGGTTGGAAAACATTAAAATTATAATAACAGAGAATAAAATTCAGCTCAAGTTTTTAAAGCTAAAAATAAGTTTTCTGGCAGAAACTCCTACATGGAGTTTTTATTCCTCAGCTGCTAAAACGTTCAGTATGGCCCTGGCCTGGGGCTCAGCTGGCTGGAGCTTCATCCTGTTCGCCCAAGGGCTGCGGCTCCATTCCCGGTCGGGGCACGGGTGGGTGTCTCCCCCGTGCTCCCCATGCCCGCTCCCCTTCCATTCTCTAGAATCGATGAAAACATATCCTTGGTGAGGATTTAAAGAAAAAAGACATTCTGCACAGACTCCGTTTAGTAACATGGGGAAACATCCTCCAGTATCTAAACGGCAAAACCGCGCCTTCTGTTGTCGCTCCAGCCCCTCCAAGGCACCCGGGTCCACTCCTCACTGCGTCACACAAAGCGCGCACGTGGCACCTGGCACAGTCAGCAGGTCCTGTTGACTGGAAAGGGCACGTTGGATCGGATGTCCCTACATATCGCAACACTGAAGAGCTACGTCCAAGCCTAGACAGTAGAGTATTAGACACAGTATTGCATCTAGTGACATGTCACTTCGGGGAGTAAACAGACCTTTGTGAAGGGTACCAACCCGCCCCTGCTCGCCCGGATGCTTCCAGTGTGGGCACTGAAAGCCCTGAAAACGCCAAGTCCTGAGCAAACTGGGACAGTCACCTGACCTTTGAATCCGTTTCTTCACCTGCACGGTGCAGGTGAAATACCACCTATGCCGCAGGACGGCGGAGTTTCAGTGGGTGACACCCAAGCAGAGGCCCCACCTCACCGATTAAGCCAGGCCCCGTTATCGCCCCAGCCCCCCACCTCCCGCCGGCCCCTGGCTGGGCAAACGCTGCCTCGGCGTCTGCGTGTGAAATGGGACACACTGCGCACGTGGTGGGGAGACCGCAGGCGGCCCTGCGTGTGGCCTTACCACTACGCGTAAAGCGTTCGGCCTACTTCCTCGCAACGGTTGATAAATGTTTCTTACTTACTAGGAAGGCCTGCCTAAGCCCTAACGTGGAAAGGTCAGCGTTTGGGGGCTGTTTTTCTTTCCGAGACAGGGCCATGCTGCTTTGTTCGGTGCAGCGCCCGTCGATCGTGGGTTGGTGGGGGCCGTGCACAAAGGGAAGGGTGGGCGCCCCACTGGGCCACAGCGGGACCTGCTGGCGGGACCGAGGCCGTGCAGAGCTGCCCCAGACGACATCCAGCCACTGTGGGCCTGGCCGGTCACTGCCTTTGGAAGGACGTCTCGCGACTGTCCACTACGGCCAGGAGGATGCGTCCGAGCCCGAGGTCGGAGCCTGTCAGGAGCGGGAGGCACGTGGACTCGGAGTTCGGTGCCCAGCGCCACGGGTACGTGGCAGGTCTTTGATGAGTGGCAGCTGCGAGGCCCAGCATCTCCCTGAGGCACCTCTGTGCCCAAAACGCCGACATCGGGCCGTGGCTGGAGCCCACGCGGTGACACAGCAGCCAGGCAGGGCCTGCGTTTCCGTCACTGGCTGGCAGACAGGCGCGCCTCTTCTGGGGGCTTCTCCATTGGCGGGCTGCTTTAGTTGCGCCCACGGATGGAGGTGGTGGACGAGGGAGGGTGGCCTGGCAGGCTTTCCCCGGCCCAGGACCCCAGCCTGGTCTGTCAGCCCCAGGCTCAGGCCGCTCATCCCGTCCAACTCTGGAGCCCGGGCTGCGGGTGCGCCCCGTGCCTCCTTGGTGCCCCGCGGCCCCCGCAGCCTCGCGGGAGTCAGGCTGGTTTTGTCGGGGCCGCTCACTTATTCAGTGGTAACAAGGGAACTGATGTGGTTTTCATTAATTAAAAACATCAAGTACATGCCACTCCGCTCAGAGGGGCTGCGTGTTAACTGAAGACTTCAAATATGTATTGTAAAGGCTGAGGCTACACAGGTAAATATTTTAAAGTACACAATTTCTTGTAACCATCAAAACTCTCCTTCCCTTCCCAGTTTCTAATCATCTTTTAAGACCATTTTCCCACCACCGCCCATTACTCTGTAGTTCTCATTTTCCACTGAGAAATACGCGGTGGGAAAAAGGGGGTTTACAGTTGACACTCCTCGGCTGGCAAAGCTGTTGCACTCACCCTACCGCGCACGCCCTCGCCTATTCCAACTGTGAACCGACTTCTGCCCGCCCTCGTACACTCATTTTTCCACATTCGCAGGAACTCCCACAGGCGCTTCTGGAAGCTTGGCTTCTATCACACTTTGCCTAACTTTTGGAGCTTAAAAAAACTTGTTTCACAGCCAGCACCCAGCACGACGTGGGACTCAGCCCCCAACGCTGAACCGCAGCTGAAGCGCAGTTCCAAGGCAGCACCCCTCTGCCCCCAGCTCTCGCCAAGGCTGACTCCGCCCCCGGGGGCGCTTGGAAACGGCATTTTCAGTTGTCAGGACAGGGCAGAGGGGGAGGCAGAGGCAGGGACAGGACAGTCACCCCGACGCATTGTCGGGGCTGAAATGCCAACAGAAACCCTGAGACACGCCCACCGAAAGGTGGGCTGCACCACGAGGCCACCACCTGCCCTGCCGGCGCCCCCAAACCCGGCCCCTCCGTGGCGGCGCGGCGGCCACGAGGCCCAGGCACGTCCGGCACGTCGAGCTACACCTGCCTCGGGACCCCTGTAACGGACCAGCCCTCTGGGGTTGTGCCGGCTTATGTTCACCATCACAAGTCAGGTTTTCCTTTTTTTTATATAAACGTGGTACCTAGTTCCATGCTGAGGTTTCTCCTGTGACTCACAGTGACAGTTTAACAATTAAAAGAAGTAAACAATTCCATTTGCAGTGGTATAACAAATTTTAATTCAAAATAGACACTCTGAAAACAACAGGTAAAAAAAAAATAAACTTCAACAAGCTCTTTTGAATTTACAAGAGTACACCAATAATCACCACCAGTTTCACAACTGCCTCGAGAAATGCACACTATAGCAATTACATGCAAGTATTGTATTTTAAATCCATATAGTAACAGTATCTCCCAGACTCGTACCCTCTGAACACACTGGACAGGTGCCTCTGCTGCGTGTTGCCAGCCACAAACACGACTTACGGTCTGACCTGGCCGGTCTCCATGCCCGGTTCTGGCGCTTGAAGCTCCCCTGTGCGGCAGCGTTAGGTAAACACCCCCGAGGTGTAACTGTCCAGGGAACGCCGACGCAGTGGAGCTCCTTAGCGACGCCCGCCCCACCAGCCAGACGCCAGGCCACGGGATGCCCGTTTCCCCTGGAGAGACAGGCCGACTCCTAGGGACTGTCAAAAACACACGCCCCAACCACGGGACTCAGCTCTTGGTCTGCTGGCTTCCCCTCGCCCCTGAAAACCTACCTTTCCACTTCAGTATCCACTCAGGGGTAAAAATTTTATTCCTGAGTAACTTGGTCCTTGTCCTCCCTTTCATGGTTTAACAGCTAGGTTAGTAGAAGGGTTTGTGTATTTTCAGTGTTCACTCTAAAGGCACTAAAGATTTATTGTCCCACCTTTGAATGGAAACATGACTTATCACCATATCAAAAAGAGGGATAGTCTACACTGAAAAGTATTTCTGTACCTACAGAATTACTTTTTTTTGTAAAATAACTCTTGACTTATGAGCTAAAATACCAGAGTTCAGGTATTTTTTAACGAATGAAAACACTGGATTTTCTATGAGTTACGATGAAAAATGGCTGGGACAAGCCTGAAATAAAGTAAATGAAAATTATAACCCAATAAGCAAGTATCTCACAAGGAAGTAATCAGCAGAGTGGATGCCGTGCGCCTGTGGGAGCCGCACACGTCACAGGGTCTGCGCTCACATCGCTGAACGTCCACTGCATCACTTGCAGCTACATGTGAAGCTGAGGGAGACCAAAGCGTTAATTTGCAGTTAATTAAGAATTCTGAGACAAGCTGAAATTTCCTTAAATGAAAAAAGAAACGTAGATTTCAATTTTTATCGTACAATCCTGACACTACTGGGAAAGCAAGGCGTGCATGAAACATCGAAATATTTAATTTACTTGACAGAGGAAAAAAAACTAAAAATAACTAACAAAATCCAAATGCAGCGAATAGTAACTTTGAATGAACTATCACGTCTTCATATGGAAGTCTTGCTCAGCACCTGAAATACATCTAAAGAGCAGCATAAAGACCACTGAAATTGATTAGTTCAACATACAGTGAAGAAAATAACATTTTAAAAAAATCTCAATTGTAAAAACTACTACTTTCCTAATTTCTTTCTTACAAGTTTTGTGGTACATACTCAAAGTTCAACCTGTGTTTAACGTTTTTAAGTTCAGACATGTCAAAGCCCAAAAGGACAGAAGGCTTGTGACTTTTTATTGCTTTCATGCAAATATACCTTCTTTTCCCAAAAAATGAAGCCACATCAATTTTCCACACCCACAAGAGTGAGGATAGCAGCTCTATTTCCTTTTTACTAGGATATGGTCTCTTGTGGAAATAATCCTTAAGAAATTGCTTCTTCTCTTCATAAGAACGGTCTTCGTACTTCTTGGGATTTAACGCTAAAATCTGAAGCGCGTCGTCGTTAACCACCAGCGGTCCCTCCGTCCTGCTCTCGTTCCTCTGTCGTTTAAAAGGCACGACACTCGTTACCTTCTCCGGAGCCGGGGCCGCTTCCGTGTTTATGACCGGAGGCCGCGGCTCCCCTTCCCGCTGGTCTTCGGCCCCCGCGTGGCCGTCCGGCAGCTTCCTTTTCACGGGGAAGCTGGCGTCGTGCACAACCTCGCCGTTGACCAGCAGCAGCTCGCCGTTCTCGATGAAGCCCGGCTGCCCCTGCAGGTCCGAGCTGCTGTCCTTCGGGGCACTCCTGCAGCGCAGCAGGTGGATGGCGATGGCCGCCAGGGTCATGTTTCCAGTGTAAACCCCGCAGCAGTGGATGCACTTGAAAGCGGGAGATTTCAGAATCGTGTGCACTGTCGGGGTGATGTGGTGCCTGTCCTTCAAATGCAGCTCATACGCCTCGGTTGTCAGAAAGGTGCCAAAGCAGAAAGGGCAGGTCAGCGCCTGCCGGCTGGGGCCCCCAGGCGGGCCCCCGGCCTGCGGCCTCACCTTGACGTACACGGGCACGAGCGACTTGGAGTGTATGCCGGCCAGTATCGCCAGGTAGACTTCCCGCTCCCCCAGCTCCTCCTTTGGCAGCGTGGTGATGAAGTCAAGGTGGGGGAACAGCAGGTTGCCGTTGGCATCGATGTCCAGCTGGAAGCCTTTGTTACTGTAATCCACAGGTAACTTCTTCTTCCCCAGGTGCGTGGTCCTGCTGTGCTCCGAGAGGCCCCGGATGTCATGGAAAGTGCGTGGACAGAACAGGCAGCCCAGGCCGTGCATCAGCAGGTGGTGCATGAGCTCCTCCTCCGAGACCAGGCACTTGCAGGAGAGGCACCGAACCGTCTTCTCCCTCATCCACTTCAGAAACGGCGCACATGCTGCCAGCTTTTCCGGCTCCAGTTTTTCAACAGCTTTGGACTCGCTGTGCTTATGAGCCACTTCCATGTGGACCTGGTAGACGTTGGAAGGGAAGAGCTCGTTGCACACTGGACAGGTTTTCCACTGCTTCGCCTGTTTGAGCCCCGGGCTCGCCTCTGCCACCGGGGAGGAGGGCTGCAGGAACACGCTCGGAGCCGCGTTCACCACCACCGGCGGGGAGGGCACGCCGGCCACGGGGCCGGCCATCTGGGCGGCCGCGCCCGACTGCAGGAGCTGGATGGGCACCTGGGGCGGGGTGACACCTGCAACGCCTGCAGGCGGCACAGGCAACGTGACGGACACTGGGGCAAGTGTGTAGGTGGGAATCCCGTTCACCTGCTTCCCTGTAGGTATCAGCTGCCGGAGAATGGAGCCTGACGTCAGAAAGGTGGTGTTCTGGGAAGCACCAGGTCTCACCGGTTGACTTGCGGGCAGGACACTGGTGGTCACAGCCTGATTGAGCTGCAGGACACCCGGCCTCCCCGGCTGGCTCATCGGAAGAACCCCCGACACGACCGGCTGACTGAGACGCAGCACGCTGGGGTTCACGCCCTGGCCCCCAGGGAGGAGGCTGGGCGAGACCGTCTGGCCGGGAGGGAGGAGCCCGGGGGGCACCGCCTGGCCCGCAGGGAGAACCCGCAGCGGGACCGTCTGGCCAGGGGGGAGCGGCCGCGGCGGGACCGTCAGCCCAGGGGGAAGAACCCCTGCCGGGGCAGTCTGGCCGACGGGGAGAACCCCCGACTGGACCACCTGGCCAGCAGGGAGAACCCCCGAAGTCGCCGTCTGTCCTGAAGGGATGACCCCGGCAGGGGTCATCTGGCCGGCAGGGAGGACACCCGACGGGACCGTCCGGCTCACGGAAATGACCCCCGGTGAGACCGCCTGGAGGACGCCGGGCGTGACCGAGGGGCTGACCGGCAGGACGGCGGGCGCGACGGGTCTGCTCACCGCAAGAACCCCGGACCCGACGGGGCGGCCCGCAGGCCCCCCAGGCCCCCCAGGCCGGTTGAGGGGAAGGACCCCGGGGCGGGTGGGCTGGCTCACGGGGAGGACGCCCGTTCCCACAGACTTGCTCACAGGCCCCGCCGGCCGACTCAGGGGCAACACGGGAGGGTTTGCCGGCTGGGGAAGCGGGGCTCCAGGAGACAGGAAGACAGGCTGCGGCGCCGCGGGGGGCAGAGTGAGACCGCTCTGGCCCCCGGGCAGGGGACTGGAGACCAGAGTTACGTGGGACTGGGCAGCAGAGGGCGGAGAGTGGGTGAGGCTTCCGGAGGCGCCTGAGGTCACCGCCACCGGCTGGACCGCGCCCTGACCGGGCTGGACGACGGCCTGGCCCTGACTGCTTGGCGGCAAGGCGAGACGAAAGCAAGGGGAGGCAGCGGGGACGCCGGGGGCGGGGCTGCTCGGTGGGACGGCCAGGTGTGCAGCTGGCTTGGGGGCGATGTGCATCTGCTTCAGAGGTCCAGTCTTCTTGATGTGCTCTGAAATCACGGACCTGAGCTTGTTCTCCAAATCCCGGTGTATATCCGATGTCAAAATATGATACATCAATGCATCCTGGCTGCTGGCATTGGCGCTGCATTTTTTACAGAAATACTTGTCAGCGGGCGGCGGCTTCTCCACAGAAGGGGGGTCATCGGTTCTGGGTCGCTCGCCCGCTTCCTCCGTTCGCAGGCCAAAGTAGGAGCCGATCAGGTGGTGGAAGTGGGCGACCAGCACGTGCTTCTTCATGCTGTAGTACAGGGTGTTGGAGAAGTTGCACTTCAGACACGTGAAGCTGATGACGTCGCTCCTGGACGGCTTCGCCTCGCCCAGGATGTTCACCGTGTAGCTCTGCACTTTCCGAACCGGCGCGTGGAACATCCTGAAGTGCCGTCCCACCACTTTGGGCTGAGAGGAAAACACACAGTTCGGGCAAGGGATCACCAGCTCTTGGTCAATTTCATCTTCATGGTGGCGATGTAAATGATTTTTGAACGAAGCCAGCACTTTTGTAGAATATTTACAGAGGCCACAACAGTATGGCTTTGTTCGGTATCTCTGTTAAAAGAAAAAGTCGGCACCTGTTAATACAGTTATGAGGCGCTAGCTGCACTGCACACAGTTCACAAGCACGTGACTTTCTTCTTCTCATGGGCTAGAGAACTGTCCCCCCTCTGAGACCCATGTGGCTTTAGGCCGGGCTAGCTTTCCTTAAAGGGCCAGAGGGTCAAGGTGTCAGGCCTTTCGGGCCGCACGGCCACCCCCGCAGCAAGCGCTGCACGGCCTGCGGAGACAAGTGGGTGAACGAATCACATGAACACCCGTGCGCACGGCTTCGTGCCAGTGAAACTACAGACGCTCGTTCAAAGTTCTTATCGTCTTCACGTCACAAAACAGTATTCTTTCCCATTTTTTCTTTCTCAAAACATTTAAAAATTGAGCAACTCTTCTTGGCTGGTAGTCCCTACAAACACACAACACACATACAGTGACCCATTTCCAAACCACCCACTAAAACCACACATCTCATTCCTTCGTCCTGTACTTCAAATCAACTGCATCAATGAAAATAAACTCAGTTCTCTGCAAACATACAGTTGCCTTCTCCCCTCCTCACCCTACTCCCCGATGTTTTTACTCCGCGTTCTAAAACACCCAGAACCCACCACAGATGGACTCGCTTGTGAACTGTGAAACCCATCATCCCTCCCGTTGCGAGTCCTGGGGCAGCAGTGCCCGGCAGGTGTGAGCGCCCGATGAACCGCCGGCCGCTGTGCCCCCGACACCTCCGCCGACCCTCAGCGGGGTCTCAGGCCGCTGAAGACTCGCCCATAAGCGCGGCATTTCTCTCGGAGGCACACGTGGGGGAATTCGACGAGCTCGGGCACAGGGACGGACACTCACGCCCCCCGGCCAGCAGAGCAGCGAGGCTGAGCGGGGCAGGCCCTCGGGCCGCGTGAGTCTGCAGCCCCGGGCGCGGCCTGGACAGACGGGGCGCAGCCCCCAAGGCCCCGCCCCTCCCGGCCTGCGCGCCCCCGCCGAGGCTCCCGCGCACCACACACAGCGCCCGGCCTGGGGCCGTCGCCCTGACTCGCTCCTGCTCTGGCACTCGGCCGCCTCGGGACACGGGCCACAGAGGTCACCCAGACACGTTCAGCGACACGCCGCGCCCCTCTGCAGTGGGAGCCCCCGGCCCTGGCATTTCTGGGAGGGGCCGTCACGAACCCAGGCCAACGGCCAGCCACACACTCAGACCCCCACTTCTCAGACTCTGAGGCTTCTTTTTCAACTTCAGTGTCTCTGAAATCTGAAATACCTTACAACTAATGGCTCAGTGGTGCACAGTCTAAGTGAAGTTCATTAAAAAATACTGTCTTACATCAATGAAATACTGTACTGAAAAACAAGATACTCATCCAAAATTACACTCAATGAAAAAGCCAACAGAACTCACCAACAACTGCATGTTATCATCTGCTGGTGTGGGCCAGATCCCTGGGTTGGCAGAAAATGTCTTAAATGTGATCCATAAAAGGAGAAAATAACAAACTAAACTTGATCAAAGTAAGAAAGCTTCTGCTCTTTGAAAGTCATGGTTTAAAACTACAAGGAGGAGCCACGGTGGGTCGGCCACCACGCGCCCCCACCCCCGCCCGAGCCGCCACTAGCACCCGGCACAGGCAACGCCCCTCCGAGCTGACCCAACCCTTATGCCCAACTTTTGAGGAAACATGAAAATCAAATGCAAAAATACATACCGCTTTCTTTCCAGAAGGTTCCCATAGAGAAATATCTCCCCATGATGTGTTATAAAAGTACTTCTCTCCTGGATCAAAGCCTTTAAGGTCCTTTTTAACAAAGAAAAAAAGTAGAGAAATCATTACGGAATTTCAGCAGATAAAGAAATATTTACTTAGAACCTGATGGGATTCCTTGGCACATAAGGAAACTACACGGGGAGAGTTAATGAAACTGCAGCCACCAGCAGATTGTGGCAGGCGCTCAGGACGTACGAGACCTGAGGAAAAGGCTGAAAGAATCCCAGTTAAAATTAGTTCTGTAAGAAATACACAGATAGCAGGTCCCACGAAGAGTTTCTAGGAGAGAGAAACCACGCGCGCCGCCCCCGTCGGCGGTGAGGGCTACCGGGCTCCGGAGTGCGCCGCGGACGCCAGGCGCAGGCCCCGCGGGCCAGGGCACGGAAGGGGAGGTGCCACCGAGAGCCCAGCGACCAGGTGCGGCCTGGCCCAGACGAGCTCCGGTTCAACCCATCAAGTGTAAAAACTATTCAAGGAAAATTGGAGACATCAGAATATAAGCTGGGTAACTGGTAAGACAGACTCTCAATGACACAGAAAGAGGAAGGTAAGAAAGTGAAGCGGCAGCCGCGTGCGATCTGTGTGCGCTCACCGCGTGTCGGCCGCAGAGACAAGGCTCAACAGCAGGGTCGGTCATGGCGGAAATGTGGCTTTTAAATTTTTATTTTCTAAAGAAATAATGGGCAGTAGCTTCTCTTTCACAGTTTATATGACTGTTTTTACAATAACTCGAGGTCTTTTAATACATCCAAAAACGCTAGCTCGGCCAGCAGAAGACGGCTGACGGAACCTCAGGCCCTGAACACAGCGGGGGACAGTGCGGCTGCCCAGGCCGCTCAGGACCAGAGGGAAGCGCCCGTCGTGACAAGGACTCACAGCGGCGAGCACGCACCCTGAGGTTCAGCACGACGCGGCTGCAGGGGCTCTCGCACCCCACGGGTGGCGGGCACCACGCCGCCAGAGGTCGGCCACGGCACAGAGCTCTCACGCCAATACGGAGGTGAAAATGGGATTGTAAAAAATACTCAATCCAAAAGAAAGCGGGGGGGAAAAAGGGAACAAATAGCAGATGAGACAGTAAAAACACACAGCAAGGCGGGAGACTTGAGCCCCACCCTGCCAGCAAGCACCGCGGGAACAGGCCAGGAGGCGCCCCAGCAGGGCTGGCTTGGGCTAGGCCGCAGCCCCAGCCCGGCCCCACCCCCACGGAGCGGCCCCAGGCCGGATGCAGCTCGGCAGAGGCCAGTGAGGACACAGCCAGGTTGGGCCCACACTCCGAGCCCAGCTGGTCTACGCCTGGTCGAAGCACCCACATTCAGAGACACAGACTATCACACTGGGTCTAAAAACAAGGCTCGGCTATATGCTGTCTACCAAATTCTCACTTTAAATATAAAGACACACCATCTACAGAAAGAACACCCAATGTCTCTCCCACTTTTCCAGCGATTCCATCTGTGTTGTTTACTACAGCCCAGCACCGGTTCCCTCTGCCTTCGAGTGAGTGAAAAGCAGTCCTTTCCAAGCTGACCGCGCAGCAGCGGGGCCGGGGCTGACCCGCCGTGGGTCTGACACCCTCACACAGGCCAAGGGCTCTCCTGGCAGCAGCTCTGGAAAGAAACCTCTCGTCACGTTTATCCGGGGAAATCTAAGTAAAATGACGGATGTAATTGAAAACATATTAAGAGCCAATACATTTCACATAACTGTTTTATAGCATTAAAATATAATTCAGCAGGAGCTCATGTGACCCATTTCTCCGCTTCTTGGTGTTCAAAGCTGACCTGCACTGTACAAACTTAGAGAAGGGGCCTCAACCTCCGGCTGCACGTTAAAATTGAAGTGACGTGGGAACTGAGCAAAGATAAAGTAAAATCAAAGAAACCAAATTTTGCTTATTTGAAAAAAAGTAATAAAATTTACAAATGTTTAACTACACTTACAGAAAAAAAGAGAGAAGATGAAAACCAATCAAACCAGAAGCAACAGCGAGGGCATCACAGCCGAGCTCACAGGAGGGGAGGGGAGACGAGAGCGAACACCGCCAACGTCCGCGCACACACGAGACAAAGCAAACGAAACGGAAAGAGTCCTAGGAACACACAGACGACCTAAACCAATTCAAGACGAAATAGAAAATATCAAAAGACATACAACGAGTAGAGAGTACAACAGCCATCAAAAATGTCAAACAATAAAAAGTCCAGGACCCTGATACCAGAGCCAAATACTAACATGGCAAGACAAGAAAATTACAAATATTCCTTACAAATAAAGATGAAAAATCCTCACCAAAATACTAGCAAATAAAACCCTACAGTATATTAAAAAGATTAAACCCTATATTCAAGTGGGTTTAATCTTTTTAATATACGTGGGGCCAAAAACACAAGGGAGGAGTGTTCAGCGTGAAAACATCAATCGATGTGACAGGCCACACGTCGCCAGACGAGGAGGAAGACGGCCTCCGCACGGTCATCTTAACTGACACAGAGACAGCGTCTGACACTCCCCCCCCCCCCCAGGACAAAGCGCATTCGGGAGCTCGCTCAGCATGACACAGGGGTCTCCGAAAGCCATCTCGCTGGCCGGGGAGGGGCTGCAGGGCTCCCCCGCGACGCTCAGGAACAAGACCAGGATGCTGGCTTTCACCTCGCTCGGTCCCGGCAGTACTGCGCTCGTGGTCTAGACGGAGCCCTCAGGGCAGAGAAAGAAAAGGCATTCGAGGTGAAAGAGAAAAAGGAAAACTACTTCTATTCACAAATGACTTGAGTCTATCTACAGAAAATGCCCAAAAATCCACCAAGAAAAAAAAACAAAACACAAAAACCCTACCAGAAGTAAGGTCAGTAGACCTGCAGGTTAAAAATCAACACACACAAGTCAGTTGTGTTTCTACAAACCTGCAACAAATGATCTGAAAATGAGATGAACAATTCCATTTTCAATGCCATCAAAAGTAAACAATGCGCCTCAGTATAAATTCAACCAGGCAGGTGGAAGCCCTACACACTGACGCCACCACCACATGACCCAAAGCCACTCACGACCGAAACGAGAGAGACACGGCCCGTGGAGCGGCCGGCGGGCGGGCGCCCCCTCTGCAGCGCTGGCTCCCCCGAGCGGGCGACTTCCAACGACCCCCTTCTGCTTTGGCCTTGGCCGGTCAGTGCGGGTTTCTGTGGCTTGAAAACAAGGCGCCCAAATGCGGTGGCAGATCAAGGATAACGCGTTTGACACTGAAAAAGCTCTTACCATGAGATTCAGCGAAAAGACAAAAAACCAAGCTCATACGACCTAGATTGACCGTGTCCCAGTTGAAAAGATCTAGACGATGTACAACCGTATTAGCGATGGGTATTTTGGGGTAGCAGCTTACAGCTGAGCCGTCCTCGCTGCACCGCATTTCCATGTGTACAGCAATTTCTACCTGTTCTACAATAAGCTTCTCCATTGCCTGAATGTTTTAAATTTCATAAATATACAACCAACTACAAATTACCAAAAACAAGAAATTTCCCCCAAAAGCATTCATAACATTTCACCCGACAGTCCGTCTAACGAACCTAGTGTGCGCGAGCCGCTCGGGCCTCGACTCCGCCCCGTCGGTCTAGGGCTGAGGCACTTCCGACGCAGGCGCACGGGCCGACCAAGGAAGCCCAGGGCACGAAGGCTATCCAGTTCTATCCAATGTCCAAAAAAGGGCTCCAAGACAGAAATTCCCATTTAAGTTGTTACTGATGTCTCATTGAAAAATAAAAGCAAACCGATTTTGTAACAGAATTTCATTTAAAAACTCAGGTCTGCCCTGACTGGTGTGGCTCAGCTGGCTGAGTGCACCTGCAAAGGGTCACCAGTTCGAATCCCAGTTGGGGCACAGGCCTGGGTTGCGGGTTTGGTCCTGTTTCTCCCTCATGTCGATCTCTCCCCCACCTCTCTTTCTCGCTCCCTTCTCTCTCTGAAAATAAATAAAATCTTAAAAAAAAAATTAAAATTAAACCTGAGCTCACATTAACGGGACTGAAGAGACACGACAACGACAGGCAACACCTGGTCCTGGCCGGGCCTGCCCCTCATGGAGGACAGAGCGCAGCGCGGGCTGAGCCCCGGCACACGCACCTCAGCGGCGCTGGCTTTGCCAAGGCTGGCGATCGTCCTGTGATGAGAGACTATTCGATTTTTTAAAAAGTCCTAATTATTGCCTTTTAGACAGAGAGGCGGGGAGAGAGGAAGTCGTCAGTCTGCATCAGCTGGGGCACGGGTTGACTCCCACATGTGCCCCGACCGGGGACTGGAACCCGCAACCTCGGCCGATCCGGACGAGTCTGTAACCAGCTGAGCGACCCGGCCGGGGTGGGCGTCTGCCCCGGTTCTTAGAAAACACGTGTGAAGCATCTGGGTAGGAAGGGCCATGGGATGTGCAGCTGACTCTCAAGTGGCTCCGGGAAAATACCACACACACAAGCAGACACACACAGCAGAGGCCAAAGAATGAGATGTTGAAGCAAACGGGCTTAAATGTCAACAAGTGTTAAATCCAGGTGAAGTGCAGTGTGTGTCCCCTTGTACTATTTCACTACTGTAACTTTTCTGTAAGCTTCAATTATTTCCGAAAGGAACAATTAAAGAAAACACCTTACTTCGCTACTTCTGGTGTGACAGAAGCTCGTCACCTGGGATGTGTGTCTCTGCCCTGTGTCCCTGGAACACCCTGTCTCCCTCTTCCCGGTGGAGGCTCCTGCCCTGGGAGGCCGGTTCTTTGAAGCAGCTCCAATCCCGCCTCCTCCCTCAGGTCTCCGGGAGCCTCCCAGTCGGACGCGATCCTGCTGCGGGGTCTACTGGGGGGCCGGGGGGGCGGGGGTCTGACTGCGTCCCTCTAGCCCTTCACTGTCCTAGTGAAGACACTGAGGCCCAAAGAGGGACCGAGCTGCCCAAGGTCACACCATTTTCTAACAGCCAGGACTGAAATAAAAGGCATCTCTTTATCCCCAAATAATTCAACAATATTCTCAGTCTGTTTACTGAAGGGCACTATTATACCTTCTGGGGTAACCTTTCCAGTATCTGCCACATGCACGGCACATTCTAGGAGCTTCCCATTTATTATCAGTTGAAATTTCCTCAGTCTACACACATACACTTGCGTTCTTAGCTTGTTCTTACACTCTGTAAATATTAAATCCACTATTTCTATTATTAACGGACTGTGTCTACTATCCACCTTCTCAATCTTGCATCCAAATATAATTAGCCTGCTTTCTTCCTCATGACGGTCATAAAATATGACTTACAGACAGAGCTGCAAAGAACTCCAGGAGCTGTCTTCTTGCAATATTGCTCCTGAGAAACCGTGTCTGCCTAAGAGCTTCTACTTCAGTATCTTTATTTCCCAAAAGACTTTCAGACAGTCTGTTACTAACAGTAGTTTCCTTCACTGATTCATTTAAAAGTTTTGGTGAAAAAATATATATACACATTTGTTAAGCGTCTACGTGCCAGCCCCAGTTCTGACCACAGGTAGTGGAGCTGACAAAACAGCGAGGCCCGCGCCTCCCCGCACTCAGGTGTGGGGACAGGGGGGACCGGGCGCCTCAGGGCCCGGGAGCCACAGCGGGGACGGAGCAGAGCCGGGAGGCTGCACCTGAGCGGGAAGAGCGCTCGGGGGGCCTTTGGAAACCCTCACCCGTCCGCCTGCTGACCGTGGACGGGAGTCCCGGGAATTACTCATCTGTCGGTATCAGGCTGCCTTTTCTTAAGTGCAATCAATCTGGTTTCAAGTCTGAGATTTGAAAATTAAAAAACTGAACTCTTCCCAGGTCAAGACACTTTGAATCAAATTCTTCACAAGTTTAAAAAAATCAAAGCAGACATTTCATAACTATTTTGATAGTTATGAATAAAACATGCATAGAATTATCAATGGCTATAAGGTTACACAACATACCTCAGAACAATTACTTCTTTACTAAATACGCCTGTCATGTAGTCTCAAGAATATAAAATTTTCACTGAATACAACTTATCAATAGTGCAACTGTGACCTTAATTTTTAAACTTTTATAAGAATGAATGTATTAAATTCACAAATCAGAAAAACCAACACCCTATCATATGTGTGCATCCCATTTATTGATTATGTTAACAATACCTGAAAATTAAGATAGGGTCTTCTGCTAAAATAATAAATAATTCAACACATTTCCTTCAAAGATCAAAAACAAATACACAGTTAACCCCTGAACAACACGGGGGTGAGGGGTCCCGACCCTGGACCCCAGCCCTCTGCCCACAGCTGAAATCCCCATGTAATTTCAACTCCCCAAAAGTGTAGTTGTCCCTGGGCATCTACAGGGGATCGGTTCCAGGAACCCCTGCGAATACCAGGGTCTGGGGACGCTCACGTCCCCTCCATGGAATGGCCTCGATCGGTGTACACAGCCAGCCCCCTGAACCCGCAATTCCTAGCCATGGGTCAGAAATACTGTTTTTTCTTTTTTAAGATTTTATCCATTTATTTTCAGAGAGCGGAAGGGGCGGGGAGAGAGAGAGAAACATCCCTGTGTGGTTGCCCCTCGCACGCCCCCTGCTGGGGACCTGGGCTGCAACCCGGGCCTGGGCCCCGACTGGGAATCGAACCAGCGGGCCTTTGGCTCGCAGGCTGGTGCTCCGTCCACTGAGCCGCACCCGCCGGGGCCAGAATCGCCAGCTCGTATCTGTTGGCGGAACCCAGACGCAAGACCCAGGCGCACGGAGGGCCGGCTGTACGGTGGCTGGAAAGCTAGGCACAGGGGGCCCGTGCAGCGTGGCCCCCTGGTGCTCAAGGGTCAGCAGTATTTTAAAACTGACTATAAAAATACCCTCATAAAAGTCCCTTTAGAAACTTGAAGAGCTTAAAATAGCTCGATTTACTCAGAAAGACATAAATAAGATGCCCCAGACAGGCACGTCAGCTGTCAGCAATCCCCACTCCGAGGAGCCTCCCCGCTCTGCAAACACCCCGAGGTCGGTTCTCAGCTGCAGGGGCCGCCCCGGGGACCAGCACCTCCAGGGTCCCCGGCGGCCCCCTCCCCCCGTTGCTGACGCCCTCTTACCTTCAGCAGCTCCTTGCAGCTGTCAAGCCCAATGTCCACAAGAATGCCTTTCACCTTTTTTCGTACCTTCCTGATGTTGTCAAGATTTTCCACAGGAATCTGAAACATTTTTGAAATTTTCCTTGGAAAGGGAAGAAAACAAAACAGTAATAAGTAACAGGGTTGGTAAAACACGAAGGAGAGAGTAATTGTCAACAAATCATGCTGGGTCGGCTCGTTACCCACAGGCAAAAGGAGGAAGTCTCATTCTTTTTCTACACCATACACAAAAATCAACTCAAAATAGATTCTACACCTCCCACGCAAGGGATCAAACTTTAAAACTCTCTGAAAACACAGAAGCATAAATCTTCATGACCTTTAGACTTGGCAATGAATTCTCAGATGACACCAAAAGGCACCAAGAACAAAAGAAACACCAGGTAAGTTGGACTTCCTGAAAATTTAAAACTTTTGTGCTTCAAAGGAAACCATGCAGAAAGCAAAAATGGAATACACAAAATGAGAGAAATTTCTGCAAATTGGATCCTGATAAGGAATGTACACCCTGGGTATAAAAACCACCCTGATAACTCAATAATTAAATGACTAGTAACTCAACTTAAAAATGAGCAAAGGATCTAAATACCTGCGTCTCCAAAGACAACGCACCAATGGCTGTTAAGTACATGAAAAGATGCTCAAAAGCATCAGCCATATGGAAATGCCGACGGGAACACAGTGCCACGATACCGCTTTACGGCTCCTAGGAAGGCTGTGACTTTGAAAAAAGAGCAGGACGAGGGCTGGCAAAGATGTCGGGAAAGCGACCTCTGACACATCGCTGGCAGGAATGAAAAACCGAACAGCCAGAGGACAGCCTGGCTTTTCCTCAAAAGACTGAACAGAGGCACCACAAGCCAGCAATTCCACCAAAAAGAAGTAACGTGCACCCAAGCAAAAACCTGTGCAAGAACATTCGGTGGCATTATTCATAACAGCCAAAACACAGAAATGACCCAAACACCCATCAACTGATGGACGGATAAATAAAACATAGTGCATTCACACAACGGAGCTTTACCTGGCCCCCAAAAGAAACGAAGCACCAACGCGTGCTCTGGTGTGGCTGAGCCACAGGGAACACGGTGCTCAGGGGCGGGAGCCTGGTGCACAGGGCCACGCGGTGTCTCACGGCATCTACACGCCGCGCCCAGTACAGACACATCCCAGCAGAGGCGGCCCCGGGCGGGGGAGGGGACGGCTGGGGGAGGCTGAGGAGGACCAGTCTCCTGTTAGGATTTTATGCATCTACTTTTAGAGAGGGGGAGGGAGGGAGAGAGAGAGAGAGAGGGGGAGACATCCACACGTGGCTGCCTCTCACACGCCCCCACCATGGACCCGGCCGATAACCCAGGCCTGTGCCCTGGTGGGGAATCAAACAGGCGACCTTTCACTTTGCAGGACAATGCCCAACCCAACGCAAGCCACACGGGTCAGGGGAGCGGAGGCGTTTCTGGAACAATGACAAGGTCCTGAAACTGTGGTGACGGCGGCACAAACCTGCAAACACAGTGAAGGTGAACTGTGCGCTTTAAATAGGCGAACTGTACGGTGGATAGACTACATCTCAATAATAAATCTGTTTTTAATACATATGGAAAAGCGTAACATTAAAACAAACCCTGTGATACCTGACTGGAAAAGACGGCACAGGTGTGACCTCACCGCTTCTAACATACACGCACACACGGAAAATAAACGGCACGTGCGTCCCACGGCTCCACCCGAGCAGCGCTGCACGTCCCGGGAGCAGTGAACGCTCCTAGGGCCCAAATCCTAACTTCTAAACACCACTTTCTATCACAAGGAAACAGCGCTCCTTGGAAAAATGGCCACTGTGAGGGCTGGAACATGGAAAAGCCCAGTTGCTTCTAGAACACCTGGTGCCGGAAACTAAGGAAGCTGGTCCAAGAATGGTGAGACGCATCAGGAGGACTCAAAGGAAGCCAGCTTGAAGAAGTCCCCACAAGCCAAACGGGGGACAATTTGGCAACAAATGATGATAGTAACTGGCTGGTTAGCATGTGGCACTGGATTGTCCGAAGACAACGCAACCCGGCCTCCCGTCCCACGCCCCCTCCCGCTCCTCTGCGAACAGGACTTGGACTCCCCTTCCAGAAGTGAGGGCACCTGAGCCCCCGCCCCTGGGACCCGGACCGCCCGCCACGGCAGCCGCCCCAACACGGCCCCACGGAGTCACTGCCACATGGCCCTCGGGGCCAGGCCGTCGTGGCGCCACAGCCCCACCTGTCTCTGGGGCCCGACGCCCGTGGAGCCCAGGCCCCACGAGCAAGGAGGCTGAACAAGCCCCTGGAGCCCGGGCATGGACGGTCCCCACCCGCCACTGGATGCGCAAGGCAGACGCCACGGGGGCCCGGCCCGCCCACCCCAGCCTCTGGGTCTCGCAGGCCGCGGCCTGGATGTGGCGGAACAGAAGCGACCGGCTACCCCACTCCCGCCCGAGTTCCTGAACCAAAGAAGTACTGAGCTTTTTTAAACGAAATGTTTATTCCACCGGATTTTGGGGTGGTGCAGGTTGGCACGCAAGGGTAACTAGAACATAGCCCGCTGGAGTATAAACTTAAGTCCGTGGTGCCGTAATTAACTGAAAGCTCGATGAGGAATGGGGTATTTACAAGATTTCCAAGCATCTCCCCACAGCATACGTAATAACCAAGGGAAAAAAGAGTAACTCACAGAAGTCTGGCAGAGAACCTGAAATTAAGAGACAATGTAAAAAACCACCACCAACTAGCCTAAAATGGTCCACGGTGCCCAGATCATACAACATAACACTTCTCACAGCAGCCAAAATGTGTAACCAGTCCACAAGTCCCTCCAAGGGTGAAGGGCTGAACTCACGTGGTGCGTCCCTACGACAGAACACGGCTTGACGATGAAAAGCCACTAGGCCTGACACGGGGTCACACGAATGAATCTCAGAAACACGCTGCTAAGGGAAGAAGGCGAACGCAGAGATCCTCATATTCTGTGACTTCACTGGCAGAAAACACGCAGGAAAGACGAATCTGCAGGCAGAGGCAGGCTGGCAGCTGGCGGGAGGAGCCGGTACCGACTGCAAACGGGCGGGTTTGGGGTCGGGGCAGAAGCGCTGGAAAGGGTTTGTCACTGGACTGCGGTGATGGCCGTACGACTATGAATTTATGTTTTTAAAAATCAATGAATTATACACTTAAAAGATCATGAGAGGAAAAACTAAGTGTGCCAGATTGAAGGAAACTAGGTAACTAGTATGATATGCAATTTTATCTTGATCCTTTTACTGTAACTGTTATTGGTCCTGTTCTGGATAGGTTGGAGAATGTTCTCATTTACAGGAAAGAGACAGTATTTGGGGGAACGTGGCATCTTGTTTGGTAACCTACTTTCAGATGAATCAGGCGGAATGTTCTTTGTACTTGCAACTTTCCGTAAATCTGCAATTAGTTAAAAAAAGTTTTTAAATGTGCAAACTTTAAAGGCTAAAAACAGAATCAGTAGAATCTGAGTTAAAGAAATACTAGGTACGATAACAAATGCCAGATTTTAATTATCAAAACCCTAACTTTTTAAGGTTGACGAAATCCACTAGTAGAGAAGGTAAGTAGAAAAACTGCAACTCACACGAGAGGGCGACTGGGCAGGGCCACCCAGGGTCCCCAGTGACAGCTTCCGGTCCGTCAGCCGCCCCGCCCTCCCAGGGGTCCGAGAGGGGCCGGTTCGGGCGTCTCTCACAGCGCCCGCCTCACTGCGTTGCAATGGCCTGTTCGCGTCAATCCCCCCCCCCCACTACGCTGCAGGGAAGGAATGGCGTTGTATCTGCAGGGCTGGGCCTATCACAGAGCATAATTCACAGCCAGTGTTTGTAATGAAATGAGCAAAAGGCGTAAAATAAAACAGCAAGAAAATGAGACACGGAGAAAGGGCTGAAATGATTGGGGTAGAGGGGCAGTCTGGACGTTTGGCAAAAGGTAAATTCGGCCAAAAAGACAGCCCGGACCCTCATGGGGCTGGGGGTGGGGGGAGCAGGCAAGGGTGTCACGTAAGGAGGACGGACCCTGGTGGGCAGTAAGGAAGGGTCAAGTTTTCGAGAGGCTGCGTGGAACGGGTAAATTTTCAGACAAGCTGTCCAGGTGAAAAGTATCTGAGGCCCAGGAGGAGACAGGCCACCAACCACAGGCCACGCGCGGCCCCGGCTCTAAATGCGGCCCAACGCAGAATCGTGAATTTACTGAAAGCCTTTTCTTTGGCTCATCGGTTTTCGTTGGCGTCTGTACTGAACACGTGGCCCGCGACAACTCCTCCTCTTCCAGTGGCCCCGAGACACCGAAGGGCCGGACGGCCCTGGCAAGGACCCTTCAGCGCTGCAGCACTCGGAAGGAGGAATGACGTCATCCCCAATGGCATGCGCTGAATTGGGCTCCAACCTTCCAAAGCGTCGCCCAGCAGAGGAACTGTCAAGAACCTCACGATGGCTCTCTTATAAAAAGCGCGTACAAGGCTACTTCCCAGCCCAGACTGCCCTCCTGGCAGAACTAGGCCGCTAGAAATTCGTTAGACGCTTCCCATTCAGCCAGACTTCTTTTCATTTCTGCCCTGAAGCTCCGCTACCCTCCCTATCCCAAGGAGGCGACCGGCTCGCCAAGTCTGGCCTCGCCCAGCACGTGCCACTGATCCTAGGACAGGGATCGGTGGACTCGCAGCAGCTGGGGACCGGCTGATTTTGTAGGCTGGTGCCCAGAGGCTGCGCTGGCTCAGGGGGAGGAGACTGAAAAGAGGTTGTGTTTGGGCAAGTTTAGAGAGGCTCCGTAGTCACCTGATGTTCAAGGTTAGGAGCAGGGTCAAGCAACTGTCAGTCTTCTCTCTTCAATTTGGAGAACAGGAAATTTTTATTCTCATATGGACGTACCCCATTCCCTTATCATGGGTATTGTGGTTCTCCCAAAACAAGCACAGATCACTTTCAGCAATTTGCTAACTGTTCAAGGGTAACAAGAAATAAAACAGGTAAATTATAAGTTTCCTAACTGTTCAAGAGCCCTGGTCTAATGTTGCCACTTTGGGGGAAAGGAACTGAGTTTTACCAGGATTTTTCCATTCTAAAATACCATAATTTATCTATTCTGAGATGCAGGATTCCACAGAAAATGCCCAGTGAATTAAGTGAATTAATACCAGGGAAGAAAACTGTTCAATGTTTCCATATTTACAGATCATCTAATGACGCCGCTCTCCACGCGTCCTTAAGAGCTCGGTTAGGTTAAACCCGCGCATCTGCATGCAACGTTCGCCAGGAAACAGCGGACTCAGCCTCCGCGCCCATCTGTCAACCTCAGTTCACGGCAAACCACCTGTGACTCCTCAGTGTTGGACAGACATGGAACCACCGAAGAGTCCGCTGATGTGGACAAGGAAATCTCACTGCCCAAAGGGGCACTTAAAGGGTTTTCCTTTGTTGCTTTTTAGCATCGTGACCATTTAAGAATATTCCATTATGGAAAAATTACACTCCAAAACACAAAGTCAATCAGATAACGCCTTTTAAGTCACGGAACTTCTCTAGAGTGTCCTTGGAATCTGACTTCTCAAGGGACTTTCCTTGAGAAGCACCGCAGCACCTGACCGCGCTGGCAGGGGTTCCGGGGCCGCTCCGCCTGGTCGGCACCCGCTTCCCGGTCCCCGCTCTGCGATCTTCGACAAACCACCCAGCCCCTGGGCCTCAGCTGCCTGTGCAAGCGGGGAGCACAAGCGACCCCGCGAAGCAGTTGTGAAGATCAACGAGTTCATGCGAGAAAAGCACGCAGAACAGCCACACTGAGTCTGCTGTTGATCTAACTCCAAAAATCTAAATGAAATGTCCCGAGCGTTGGAATATGGAGCTTTAAAAAGAAAAAAAAAAAAAAAAAGTTAAAAAAAACCCCACAGATTATTTGTGCCATACATGGAAGGAAGATTCAGAAAGTCTTGCTTGGCCTTCAGCAAGTTATCGGCCTTTGCGATTCCCCCTACAAAACATGCTGCCCTAACAGGTGTGTGACAGCAGAGTGGAGGGAAGGCAAAACGCGGGGGTCCCGGCCCCGCACAGTGACCACAATCGCAAACCCGCCAACAGCACATTGCAAACCTGGGTCCCAGGTACCAGAGGTGCCCAGATCTCTCCGGCTCGAGATCGTGGCAGGCTCCCCACGGGCGACCACCAATCCGCAGCCCCACTCCAGCGCCGACCTCGCCACGGCCCCCGGCCCCACCCTCCGGCACCGCCCGAGCCCCTCCACGCCCTCGGCTCCTACCCGAAATGGACACGCAGCTTTCGCGACCCTCCTGCTTCTACGTGGGGTCCTCCCCGACCAGAGCTCCCCAGACCCCGAGCCCGACTCACTCATTAAACCTGCAAACCTTCTCCCCATAATTTTAACAGCGTTCAGGCAAGTCTCTCCTTCAGATGCAAAGAAAATAAATTAAAATATTTAATCACTGGCCATTCTGCAACTGCGCCCAATTGCAACCGGCAGTTACAATTCTGACATTCCAAAGCCAAATGTTAGCAGAAATGTGGCAAACAATCTACGTCAACGCAGTCAGCACTAGCACGTGAAAAGTTAAAATTTCAATGTTAACACCTGCCTATCCAATCGTCAATATGCACATCAAACGCTCAAGCCCGGAGGCGCGGGATCTGCCGGTCAGGTCCTTCGGGGGGACACCGCGGGGTCGACGACGCTGCGACCGCATCCCCGCGGGCCGCGTCCGCTGCCACTCAGGGCTGCGCCCGGGACGCGCTGGGAGCTAGCGGGCCGCCTCCCCCGCCCTCTCCCGCGGCTCCGTCCCTCCCCGCCGTCCCCCGGCCCTGCGCCCCAGCCCCGGCCCCTAGCCCCCCGCCACGGCCCGCCGGCCCCTCTGCATCCGCGGCCCCGCCCCGCGGCGACCACCCCGGTGTGCACGTGACGCGGAGGGACGACCGGCACCGTTCGGGCCGCGAACCCGCGCCTGGAGAACGCCGCGGGATTCGTGAGGCGGCCGCGGGTGTGGGCGGGGCGGGGCGGGGCCGCCGCCCGGACTTCGCGGGCCGGGCCGGGGGCGTCGTCGCGGGGCCGGGCTGGGGTCGTACCTACCGCTGGGCGCCTGGAGCGCCACCGCGTCCCCCGCCGCTTCTCGCCTCGCCCCGCCGGGGCCCGCGCCCGCCTCCGCCCCGCGCGGCGGGACCCCCGCCTCGGCGCGCTCCCACCCCCGCGCGACCCTGTCCCCTCCTCCCAGCTCTGCCAGAAAGAGAAAATGGCGCTCGATTTGCCTCCGGAAGTGACGCGCACCCTCATTTGCATGCCGGTGCAGCCAACCAATGAGAGAAGAGGGTGCATGAGACCCCCTGGGCCGGGCCCCACAGACCCCTGGGGGCCCCTGCCTAAAGCTGGATTGGAGGCTCTGGGGTGGGAATGGGGGTGTCCTGCAGGAGCCCCCTACCCTGACCCCCCTCCTGCCCCAGTGCACCTCCCCTCAACATCATCTATGCAAACTCTCGTGAGAGTTTGAGTGGGTAATGACGTCATTGAAGAGGTGGGGCAATTGTGTCATCAACCACGTGGCCAATCACGTGGGCTCACCAGTTTTGACCTCATTTGCATGAAATGGGGGTGGGGCTAGTGGCTGCAGCAGGAGTGGAGGCCCCGCCCACACCTCAGGGCCAATAGGAAACTAGCTGTGAGGAGAATCCTGTCATGCCATTGGAGAGTAGACCTTGGCTATCAGGACTTTTGCAAGTGCGTCCTTGAAGGATGCATCCTGGGGAACTGACTGGATAGGGTCTCCTGACTTTGGTCTAGGAAAATGTATGTCACACCTTTGCATGACAATTCTGATTTTTAAGTCAGAGCCACTACATGTTTTGTAGGTTAATCGCATATATCTGTACAAACTCCTACAGGGCTCTAAATTCACTTTTGCTCAGATTTACTACATATTGTGAAGCGAGAATACAGTTTTCAAAAGGAGTGGAACGGAGTCGTAGCCGTCAACATGGCGTCGGGCCTTGGTCCGTGGAGTCAGGCGCCCCCGGGGCCTGAGAGGACTGCTCCGCCCTCGGGGGCTGGCGGCTTCCCGGCCGGGCGCGTGCACGCGCTCTCACCTCTCGGCCACCCCAGTCCGGTCCTTGGTGACGCTCCGGGCCTTCGCCACTGCGCCGGGCCCCAAGCAACACCTGCCCCTCCTCGACTTTCCTTCCGGAGGCAAGGCCTCCTGCTCCTCCTTCCAGAGCCCAGGTCGCCGGGCCTGGTCTCCCTCGAGCGACTTCCTCGGCCGCCACGCCAACCGTGGAGCTGGCCTCGGAGGACGGTCCGCCCGCGTCCAAGACCAGCCCGTCCAGGCTGGACCTGGTGTGCCCGCCCTGCGGGTCTTTGTGTCATGGTCCGTTGCCCTCTCTCTACTGGTACCTTCCGCTCAGTGTTGGCCTGGCGACAGAAACGCAACGGGCGCCCAACAAGTGTCCGGTTGACCATCCCCGAAGGACGGCTGTGTTCCCGTCTTCCCGGAAACGTGCTCCGACGCTGAATCTCAGCGGCAAGCGGGCGCGCTGCCCCGGCCCCCGCCTTCCTCCTGGAGACCGCGGTCGCGACGGGACGTCAAGCCACAGTCTCCTGGCGTCGCGACCCAGCGCGCGCTCGGCGGCGCTTCCCCGAGGGGCCTCGGCGCCTTGCTCTCGTCGCGGTGCTCGCAGCGCCGCCTCCGCGCTCCGCGGGCCGCCTCGGTCACCGGGCCCTCCTGCCCGCCGAGGACAGGAGCCGGTCTCGGCCCTCGTCCCTCTGGGCCCCTTCCGCGCACTGCAGTCCTTTGCTCTCCGAAGACGCCGGGCCCTGCCGTCTCGCCTCCTCCCACCATCCTGAGCGTTCCCGGCCCCCTCACCGGCCTCTGGTCCTCACGGTCCTGGGAAGTGGGCCTCCGGGCCCGGGCCGCTTTTGTCCGCTTTCCAGGCGCGGTCATCAGCCGCGCCCGTGCCAGGCACTGAGAACCCCAAGCCCTTCACGAGTGTCTCTGGCCTTTCTATCAAGTGGCCTTTTCTCCACTTCGGTGTCTCCGAGGTTCTTCAAATTCAAAATGTCTGAAGCTGAACCCCTCGTTCCCTCCGCAACAGCCTCTCCTCCAGGAGGCAGCGCGCTTCCCTGTCCCTTATTTCCTGGTTTCCAACTCCCAGGGTCACATTAAATGTGCCTCAAAGCTGACCCCTCTGCTGCAGCCCTGACATTGTGGGGACATCGAGGTCAGCCCTGGCAGGAACACCAGCCTCAGCACCCCAGAGCCTCCTGAGAAGACCGCACCCGGCCCTGTCGTTCCCCTTGTATCTTCAGCCACCCCCCAGGCCCGAGCCCCAAGGGTCAGCACAGCACACCCGCCTGAGACCGGCCAGCCCCAGCCCCAGCCCGTCGCGGCGGCTGCGGAGACCACCGAGCGGTTCACTGGGTTCTCCCTTCCACGCCACCTGCACTGGCTTCGGTTCCGCTGCCTTGCAAGGCTGAGTGCTGCGGGCCTCTCTTCCAGAAAGGTCTCCCTGACCGCCGCCGCCACAGTCACGCACGTCACACAGTGTGGCGCACACTCTCGATGTTCCCAGGCCACTCAGGGGGTCCCCTGCACCCACCGGGTCGTTCCGTTTGTATCTGCTGATGCGCGGCTCTCGGGAAGGCTGCGCCAACAGGGACCCCGCTTTCTTGTTCGTCGTTGTCTCCCTGAGGCCTAGGTGACTTTAATACAGATAGGTAAATGTTTTAATAAATACAGTTCATTAAAAAATGGAGTTTCCCTTCAACATCTCATGAAAACTTCTGAACATTCTGAAAGTTGGAACAATCGCACAGCCACCGCCATCGCCCAGATCTTACAAGCAGCACTTCGCCGAGTCGCCTCGTCACCCAGCTTCCAGCCACTCACCTCTCGATCCATCCCTATTGACTTATTTATCTTTGGAAGCAAACTAAGTTGCAGGCATCAATCCATGGCATTCCTAAATACTTCAGCATCGATATATCATCAATGACACAATGACATTTAAAACTACAGTCAATAGCTTTGCTCCTGAAAGGACGGTCCCTCCCCAGCACAGAAGGAATGAGCAATGTGACTCAGTGGGACTCATGAAGATTATTTTCAAGATTCAGGAAAGCGTGTGACAACGATGTCGCCAAGTCATTCTAAATCAGAAGTCGGAACTGAGGGCCTGTCTGCCAAACATGTCACCGCTCCTGCAAGGTCCTTCTGCCTGCCCAGCCTACTTGGCACCAGCATAAATTCCGATGCCTCCATTTCAGCTGTTCCGCGCGTGTCCAAGTGAGGGCGCTGTGCTGCACCCTTCCTACTCGCTCACCCCGCGCCCCCTATAAGCAGCATCGACACTTGCTAAGACCGCCATCCAGCGTAAAGACAGCAACCTGGCTGACCCCAGAACAGAGACAAATCTCACACTGGCCCCAGAGCCAGCCCCATCGGCTCGCCTTTGGGAAAACCAGAGAAGGGAGGAAGCCCTGTGGGCATGTGCTGCCCGGGGGGCTGCAGCTTCAGGATAAAAGTGCTGTTACCAAGTGCCAGCCCCGCAGCAGGGTGCAGGCCTGGGCAGCGCAGCGGACTGCGTTTCAGCTGCCACCTCCCTCCCACGGCTGGTTTCCATGCCGCGTCTGCTTGCTGCAGAACTGTGTTCAGCAAAGACAACCGTGCACATGCTCATCTAAATTGCTAAGGTTAATCTGAAACCACTGAAATTCTCATAGAAAAGGGGGACGTTATTTGTGAACAATCTCCATGGAATCTCGCCCTGCTCGCCTGTTCTACACATGCGTTGTGTGTGTGTCTCCCAGGTGCCGAGCGGACACTATGTGCAGAAAAGCAGACTTGGTCCCTGCTTTGCTAGAGCTTGGAGTGCAGTGGGGAAGAACGCCATTTATGAAATAATGTCACAATGAAAGGTTCATTATAAGCTGGAGAAAGAAGACTCTCCAAGCATCTACGGCCCAGGAGACAGACGTAGACTAGCAGTGTTGGAGGTGCAACGACAAGTAGACCTTAGCCGATCGAAGCAGTGAGGAAGGAGAGAGAGGACTCCAAGCAGCAGGAGCAGCGCCGGTGGAGACCCTGCGCCCGGAGGGAGGACGGCCGTCGGACGGGCCAAAGAAACAAGGAGGGCTGGCCCGCAGGTCCCAGGGAAGGGAGTGTTATGAAGGGGGACTAGGGACCACGTCGTGAAGACGCTTGGCCTTTTTAAGACCAATGAGAAGCCAGTGAGGTGTTTTTAGTGGGTGGGTTGATGGAAGCAGATTTGCATTTGGAAAGTACAGCTGGCATTTTTCTTTAAAAAATAAAAAACAACTCCAAATTGGGGTACCACTGAATCTGCACAGAGCCATACAAACCAAGGCTCTGCCTCTCATGGACTTTGTGTTTATTTCTCTGAATTTTTGTTTCATAATTACTTTTCCTTGCATGCAAATAAGCATATAAAGTGGCAACAAACTGCATGTGACTTCAAGAGTATTTACAAGTCTTTTAAAAGTATTCCCAAATGTTAATGGTGATTTCTAGTTACTTAGTCTGGGGATGTATAGTATCTGAAAACAGAAATTGGTAACTTGTATATGTTATCTGCAAACTGTTTGTTTTAAAATATGGTAGACAATTACCAAGTTAGAATGAGCCTGTAATATAAATACTCTGGGACAATATTCTCCATAAATATTAGCAACAACAGATTGGAATTTATTTTGACATTTATTTGGTTATAGTGCAATATATTTTGGATGCAAGCAGTTTCAATAAAGTTTGACCTTCCTTTAATAATTGGTGTTGATGCAATTCTTACAAATGATTGCTTTTAAAATTTTAATATAGGAAAAGAAATCTATAGAAGGTGTTCTGCTATGAAATGTACCTGTTACCATTGGAACTTTCACATCATAGGAAGTTAACCATTATCTACCAACTTTCAAGAACTTGATCTCATTTAATAAGGTGAAGAAAATCAACAAAATGGTACAAAAACATATTGTGCCCTTACAATATGCACTACATCCCTTTTTTTTTTTTTTTACAAAGGCTGAATTCAGCAAGGCAATAACTTGCTTACATGTGAATTACTAACTTCTTAAACTGTAATTTGATTCACACATTTTCAAATGGAGTTGGACTTTATTCATATTACATTTGTGTGCTAAA